GTCTCATAAACTTCTTCTCCTTTTTTTGTCTCACAAAGTCCTTTCCTTATCTATTGAAAATCTATTTTTACCTTTATTAATTCTTACCTTATTTATCATATCATACGTTTTTATATATTAATAATTTACCATCACATCATATCCTACCTTTAGCTATCACATTAGAGGTATTTTTTGTAAAATCGACACAAAAATATTTTTCTTTTAATTTTTCTAAAAGTCAAAATATGAAGGACTTTAAGGAATGGATGAATTATAACTTTTTAATATATACTTTTTATTAATCCTTTTACTCCTTATTTTCCTTGGTATATAATTTTTTTACATTTAATTATTTTTGTTTCAATATAATTAAATAATGAAATAATTAAATTTTATTAATTTAGTTTTAGAGGATGTTTATTTAAAAATGTAAAAAATGAAAGTTTGAAGCTCCTGTTTGATGTCATGGGCTTCAAACTCATTTTCAGTGAATCTGTGAGGTAAGTTAAAACGTGGCAAAGAGATAAAATTTGAAGCTCCGATTTAAAGCCCCGAGACTTCGAGTGTATATATTTTCCTCTTGTATTTCCTTTTTCCAATAAGGGTAATAAAAATAACCCATTACCCATGGGCACTATGGTCATTAAGCATTAGGTCTTGAACGTTCTATTCCGATCTCTCTCCTATATATAGAAAGATATTAACCCCATCGCCGCCTCAGAGTGTCAAAAAACTTACACATCCAAGTAAAAGAAAACTCTGTTGCCGGAAATGGCCACTCCGGTGAGTCTACTCTCCCTCTCTCTCCTTCTCGCCTTCTGTTTAATGTCGGAAGCCACCGATCTCACTCTCACTCTCGTCAACAACTGTCCCTTCACCGTCTGGCCGGCAATCCAACCCAACGCCGGCCACCCCGTTCTCGAGCGCGGCGGCTTCGCCCTCCACACCTTCACTCACCGCTCTTTCCCCGCGCCGGCCACCCACTGGTCCGGCCGAATCTGGGCCCGAACCGGCTGCACGGACGCCTACGGCCACTTCTCCTGCGCCACCGGCGACTGCGGCGGCCGCCTGGAGTGCAACGGCTTGGGCGGCGCCACGCCGTCCACCCTCGTCCAGCTGGACCTCCACCACGGCCACGCCGACTTCTCGTCCTACGCCGTGAGCCTCGTCGACGGCTTCAACCTGCCCATGACGGTGACCCCACACGAAGGGAAGGGCGTATGTCCGGTGGTGGGGTGCCGGCCGAACCTCCTCGACACGTGTCCGCCTCCGCTCCACTTCCGGTCCAACGGCGGACACGGTCCGGTGGTGGCGTGCAAGAGCGGGTGCGAGGCGTTCAAGACGGACGAGCTCTGCTGCAGGGGACATTTCAACAGTGTGCAGACGTGCAAGGCGTCGGACTACTCGAAGTTCTTCAAGAGTGCTTGTCCGGAGACGTTCACGTACGCGCACGACGCGCCGTCGCTGATGCACCAGTGCTCGGAGCCGCGGGAGATTAAAGTCATTTTCTGCCACTAAGCGTTTACTGCTGCGTAACGGAGCAGAGCATGAATTAATAATGGGGGTAGTGGAAGGTTAATTGCGTTATTATTAGTATAATTAATTATGTGCGTCTTTTTTGTACTAGTAATGTTTGTTTAAGTTGGAAGGGCATTTTGGGATGGTGGAACTTTTTGTATTGATGGTGATGATTGTGTCTGAGGGCAAGCATGTTGGTGCTTTGCTTTCTTTATCATTTCGTCTTGTGATAATAATAAAAGGGTCCACTTTGATTTGGTATAAATATTTAAATTATTTTATTTATAAATATGTACTTCAAAACAATTGAAAATTATATAACAAATAATTACATCAAAACTTCTACAAAACAAAAAGAGATAAAAAAAATTTAATTTTATCAAACTAGTGAATAAAAATACACAATTAAACACAAGTTATTGAAATTTACAATTTTTTAGGATTAAACAAAATATTTAGTTTATTTTTAAGAGTAAATTTTCAAAATGGAATTTAATAATTATACGTTTTCCCAAATTAATTTGCAAAATTAACTAAATTTCAAGTTATTTTTTTATTGAAAAATAATTCTCAGTCCATTCCCTGCAATGAATGATGGTTAAAATGACATTAAAACAACGTTAAACTTTATACAATTTTCTCAAAATCGTAAATTCTAAGTGAATGTTTTCTCAAATTGATTCATTTTCGTAATAAAAATAATTATAGAAAAATATTTTATATTTTATAGGATGACAATATAATATATAAAACTATAAATATAATTTTTTAAATTTGAAAGCAAATGTTTTAGATTATTATAATTATTTAAAAGAATAGCATGTAAATAAAATGTTTAATAATCATTAAAAAAATTACCCTAAATAGAAATAAAACATAAAGGAAATTTCAAAATAAGAGTTTTTTCTCTATGTTTTACTTATATTTAGAGTGATTTTTCAACGTTTATCATAAATTTTGCTTACATGATATTCTTTTAAATAATTGTAAATAATTTAAAACGTTACTTTCAAATTTGTAAAATTATATTTGTAGTTTTTCGCATTATATTTTCATTCTATAAAATTTAAAATATGTTTTTCATAATTAATGTATTTTTATTTCGAAAATGGACCAATTTGAAAAGATATCTAGCTAAAAATTAATATTTTGAGAAAGTAGTATAAGATTTAACATCGTTTAACGGTAGTTAGTCAGAATGACTAAATTTAACATTATTCTTAAAAATTAACCTAGGGGTGCCCGAAATGTTAGTGTACCCCATTTGTACACAAACACAAAATGTCTGTACACGTGTTTCTCTGTTAGTCTGGTTTACAAATGAGGTACTCCATGTTGGTGTATTCCTAGCATTGTCATATTTTTAATTACAAAGTACTATTTTAGAAATTAATTACTTTTAGAAACTATTTTGGAAAAATACATAGTTATTGAATATTATTTTAAAAAATTTACTCTATATTTAATTGTTATGGCAAGTGCTTTTTTGCCATAATAAATTATGAATAAAAAAAAATACTCGGACGTAATAAAATAAAATAAAAAGTAGATACATCATTGTTATGGCAAGTGCTTTTTTGCTTTAGGACAAATCCAAAATATAAAGATGAAAAGTCATTTTGGACCCTGAATAGAGATAGAGTAGTTCACATGCACGCACCATATGTTTTAAGTGTTGCCATGTCANCCCCCCCCCCCCAACTTTGAAAATCTCAAATTTGAAATTTGGACCTCTCAAAATTAAATCTATGTTTTTCAAAACTTATTGCTCCACAAGCTCAAATTTCGAACAGTTCAATATTTGAAATTTCAAACTTATGGTAAGAGATGGAACTCATGGAAGGGATGATCAGTTTGAAATTTAATTTTTGCACATTTGGTAAAGAGTCAAAGGGATAGATTCGACTTCAATTCCTAGTAGCTTCACTGAGAGGTAACTATGTTAAGCATATAATCTCTGCAAGTACTAGGTGCAGACATCAGTCTCTGACACCAATTCGCGATTACAGTCTAATTCACATGCTCTCAGTAATCGTTCTGCCGGTTCAGAAGAAATTTTTATTAGAGTCTTTGGAGATGGGGCTCAATCTTTCAAAAAATTTAATTTTTACCGTGTCACCCTTATCAACAAACAAGTTAATCCCAAATCCAATGTATGGGTTCTCTTGAAGTCTTTTATGATGTTCTTGGTATAATTTAGGGGATATGGAGACTTTTATCCTTTAATCCTCCGTAATTTGTCCCTGGCCGTATCCAAATCCAATGTGTGAATTCCTTAAATTTAATTAGTTTTAAGGTCAAAATTTCTATTCTACTGGCTAGTGGCTACTAATTCAAAGTAGATTTGAAGGAGATAGTGAGTGGGTTACAGTGGGTAGAGGTGGACACGGTACAGTTCTGGGACGGTTCCGGTTCCGGAACTGCCGGTTCCGGTACCGCCACCCCATGTCACTGGAACCGTCACCGTGCCATCCGGTACCGGTTCCGGTACCGGACCGGCCGGGTTCGCCCCCCCCCCCTTTTTTTTTTTGCTTTTTTTTAGATTTTTAAAGTATAAAAATGTAAATTTGCAATTGTTTAAGGAAAGAATGAAATAAAAAATCTAAAAATGTAGTTGTTATTTAAATATTAAAAATGAGTAATACACTAACTGAAGAACAACCACATTTAATATCCTGACGGTTCAAAAAAAATGACGAGGTAAAGAACCGTAAAGAAACCCTCGAAGGAGCGTATATATCGCTCACCTAAAAAAACTAATTACATATTTACATTAACATAAAAAAAATTTATAACTTATTCTTCAGAACTCGGACTTCCATCTGCGGTTGCATTCATTTAATGCTCCGATTCGAGTTGGTACGATGACTCTTGAGCCCGACATCTTGCCAAGAGCCAATCTTGGTTGCAAACCAGTGTTTCAAGAGATTCAGCGTTAAGACAACTTCGGTAGTCGGTTAGAATGTTGCCGCCAACACTGAATTCTCGTTCAACTGCTACGGTTGATACCGGGACGATCAACACTTGTCTTGCTAGCATGCCGAGACATGGGAACATGTGTTCGTTCCGCTTCCACCATCCGAGCACGTCAAAATCGACGTCGTCGTCATCGTAATCGCATGACACACCCTGTACATAGCAAGTTCGTTGTGCGAGCTTACTGTTGTACCACTTGAACTCGTCAAAGACTAGGCACGCTTCCCTTTCTTTGCAAGAAGGCCACCGACTATTCCGACAAAACCTTTTTTGATTTCGGGGGCGGGGGTGGTGCTGTTTCTTCTTGTACAGTACCGTATAACCCTTGATATTCTTTAAACAAATCCTCAAAAAGAGTTATAGCATTATCTCTTTCATTTTTCCATTCTACTAAATAGCTGTAGTAATAACTATTTTTATCTAAAAAACAACTGTAGTAATACTCAATTAGAATTTTAAAATTTTCAATCTTAAATCGTGGATCACAAATAATACATATTTTATAAATATCAGGAATGTACAAATAATAAGTACACCATTTATCTCTCATAGGAGAGACATAAGGGTACAAATCTGGATCAGCCATACTTTCACGAAAACATGTTGCGATTGTAATGCACTCTTTAAAAAATGTATTTGTAGTTGGTTGGTAAACATGGGAAAAAGTAAGAGTTGCGTTATTAAAATTTCTAATACGGCATTCAATTTTTCAACAATAACAAATTCAAAAGGATTAATGATTATACGAAGTTCATCCCTAAAAAATTCAGCATGTTCCTCTTTATATCTTAGGATCTGTGCAATCCTTTTGTAAGTACTATTCCATCTAATGTTAATATCTCTGGCAAAACTTATTTATTTTTTACCCTTAGACTTACAGAACATCTTCCAGGACCTCGAAATAAGACGAGCCCCCCAAATTTTTTTAATTCCTTCTTTAATATTTGTCAAAACTCCACCCATAGCTTCTAGTCCATGTTGAACACATAAATTTAAAACATGACACGCACACCGTTGATGCAGAAATCTATTCATAGTCGTAGACGGTGGGCAAATTTCTCTAAATCTAGGAATAGCAGCAGTATTATTAGTAGCATTATCAAAACCAAATGAAAAAACTTTTTCAGATAAGTTATATTCCCGCAGAATACTCTGAAGCAATAGAAAAATATTTTCAGCAGTATGCTGATCATTGAAATCACGAAATGCAAGAACACGTTTATGCATAATCCAATCACTATCTATCCAATGACAAGTAACACCCATATAAGACAAATTATGATAAGTTTCACCCAAAATATCAGAACAAATAGCAACACGAGAATTAAAATTGAGAAAAAAATTTGCCAAATTAATTTTTTCCATTTTATACTGGCGAATAATTTCTCGTTTAATTGTTTTTCTTGAAAAACATCGTGCTTGCGGGTTTAATGTCTGTTGACAATAATCAATAAAACCAAGTTTTTCAGAAAACATGTATGGCAAATTTTCTTCACAAATCATTTCGGCCATTGCTTATTTTGCTCGTCGCTATAAGCAAAAAGGCCGCCCTTACCTCTGTTAGCAAACCGAGAAATTTGGATTTGCACTTCTTGTCGTCCCTTTTTTTGGCCTCGTATTTGGCGTACTCCACGGGATGCCTCGACCTTAGGTGTTTTTCCGGACCGCCATAACCGCCGGAAACTCCCATTTTTATGACGGTCCCGCAATGTTTACAAGTTCCATAAACTATGCCATCTTTTGTGTCTTTGTCAAAATGATAAACAAATAAATCTGATTTATATTTTTTTTACCTTTGTCCGGACCTCGAGAGGTCTCGGGCTCACCTGCCTCCACGTCGACGTCGTTGCTTTGCGGTGTAGGCTCATCGTCCCCGTCAAGATTATCCAGTCCTGCTTCATCAACATCCTCGAATAGACTATCAAGAGTGGGGAGATTCGCGTCTCCTCTACCAGAAAAAATCTGGTTGAATTCTTCATCCGTCATAGCGTCCCCGATTAAATGATCTGGGATAGTAGGAAACGAAGAGACAGAGTGTCTTCCTCGAGAACCGCGTGAGGTCGAACCGTCGGAGGTGGCTTTAGCTTTGCCTCTCCTCAAACTTCGATTCACGGCGCCCATATCCACGGACCTTCTACCGGACTCTCTCAACATTTTAATATATATATTTTTTGATATAGAAAAATAATATATTAAATTTCGATAATTTAAAAAAAAATCGAAATTTTATATATTAAAATTTCGAAAATTTCAAAAAATAAAAAATATATTTAAATTATTTAAAGATTAAAGAATATATTTAAAAATTAATAATATTTTAAATTTCGAAAATTTTGAAAAAATTTCGAAATTTTATATATTAAATTTTTGAAAATTTCAAAATTTTAATGTGTAAAATTTTTATATTATTATATGAATATTAAATGTATAAAAATTAAAAAGAGATAATAAGATTGAGAGATTGATAAATTGAGAGAATGAGAGATGGATTGAGAATGATAACAGTAAAGGCTGTCTAGAGAGTCTTTTCAAAATGCTAACACTAGCATTTAATTTTATTGACTAATATTGAGTGAATTAGTTTGAAACTAATCAAATTAACTCTCAAATCAATAAAATTTAATGTAATGAGATGACATTAGGATAAAATCTAGTTATTCCATACAATTCATTTCTACATTTTCATTGGTTATTTGATAAAATAAAATATTCTTGACATTTCTTATTTCGAAGAACTTTTCATGTAGTTTTTTGATATGTAAATTTTATTTTTTATTTCCATACCAATGTGTAAATAAAATGAATTAAAAAAACTTAATATTTTACCTCGGGAATACAAATGTGACAAATATTTAGGAACGGAAAGAGTATTTTTTATTTCCCCATGTAGAAATTCTAAACAAAGAACTTTTATTTTAAGGGTAAAAAAACATTACATAGGTCCTCTATAAAAACGGAACTTTTAACGGCTACAAAGTTTAGGGTCCTTCGTTGAAGTGTTCAGCGTTGTGGTATGTGGTTTACGACCGTACATGGCTCCCCAACCTAACGACGTTACCATCAATATCTCGCACGTACCCCACTCTTTGCCCCCACTTTTTTTCTGCCACCGCGCTCACCGGCACCGCCCCGTTCTCCACCGCTCTCTGCCAGTAGTCATCATCATCATCATCATATCGTCCATCATTATATTATTCGATCAATTAATCAAAGTACATACATTAATACATATATAACAAAGTTGAAACTTTATTACGAGACAGAAGAAATTAAATGATGATAATGAAATCAAATCGTTACCTTGTACGCAGCATCGACATCTACGTAGTCGAAGCAAAGCTCAATGGGTTGTCTTTCGCCACTGGAAAGAGGAGTCTGGACTTGACCTGTTAATTCATCGGTCTCGCGTTGATGGATTGGAGTGAACGCGATCGTCGTGGATCCGCTCTCTAGCTCCGCCCATCTGATCGATGATCGAGCCACCCATTGCGCCCAAAACATTTATAACAACAAACAATGCAAATAAAATTTGAGATCAAACTAGACTCGTGTGTCCGTGGGTGTCTGTGTACGAATAAATAAAACGAAATTACTTGCGGTTGTCGTCGAGACGACGAACGTTGTAGCCGAAGGCCTTGGCGTAAAAATCAACGGATTTAGAGACGTCTTTGGTGTAGACGACTGTATACGCAAACGCTGGGCCGCCCAAATTACTCGACGCCATATATTTGTGTGTGTATAGTTGTATATATATATATATGCTTTCAATTCCCACCGCCGGCCGCCTCCGTCGTCCGCCGTAGATCTAATGATATGAAGATGGGTTATAAGCTATATAAGCGTCCATATGAATTGATGCAAAGGAAACGGATGGAAATGACACTTGGAAAAGGAGAGCAAGTCACACATGTACCCCATGCAGCATTTGATCGAATAAGTAATTTACTAAGAAATATTTGCACTAAAACTTAAAACTTAAGTCATTTTTCTAAATAACACTTAAACTGTTTTTTTCCTAAATAGCACTTAATAATGTCCATAATGTCCAGTGATGACGAATATTTGCTTGAATAATAACTAATGCATAATGACTAAAAGTGCTACATTAAGAAGAAAAACATATGTGGTGCTATTTAGAGAAAATCATTAAGTTTTAGTGGTATTTAAGTAAATTCCTAAATTTACTAATGCTCCACCTCATCCCTTGTCAGGGTCCCTCCCGAAAATTCTATGGCCCAACACAAGGCGGGAAAAAAAGGTTCTTCATCCCGACCAATTAAATTGTAATTAAAAATATTTTTTTATTTTTCTAAAAATGTTTCTTTATTTTTATTAATGGCAATAATATTTTGGTGTAACTATTCATCACTAGTACCCCTCTGATCATTTTATGGTCATTTTTCCGGCGAAAAAGAGGCATTGGTGCCCATTTTTTATTTTCCATTTATTTTCTGTTTTTCTCCCTAATTGTTTCTTTTATAAATTAAGTTTTTGTCAACTTCTTTTTTAATTTTTCATAACGTTCTTATAATTTTGAAAAAGAAATTTTTTGAAAAAAATTAATATACGAGTATATTGTATCTGTAAGCCTCAAATAAAAAAAATTCTATTTTTTGTTTTTCGAAATAAAAAAGCAAATTTTTTGAAAACTTCAAAAAATGAAGAATAAAATAAGAAATAAAACAAAACAAAAAATAAAAATGAATGTCCTTTTTGGACATTCAAATTCTAAATACTTTTTAGGCGTTTTGAAAATTTCTTTTTGCACAAGATTTTTTTGCATGTTTCCATTTTTTCATTTCATTTTTCCATATATTTATTTTTTCTGATAAAAATGAATGTCCTTTTTGGACATTCAAATTCTAAAGACTTTTTAGGCGTTTTGATAAAAATGAATGTCCTTTTTGGACATTCAAATTCTAAAGACATTCATGGTCCCTGATATTAAAAAACTACTCCATGATCACTAATCTATACCTGGATTATATGTGGAAACTAATATCTAGATCGAAAGACTGATTATTAAATTTTTTTCAATGATAAAGAATCACGAACATAATATTTTAAAATGAGGAACAATATGTGGAAAACTTTGAAAATTTAGTTAATACGGAGTACAGTATAATACAAAGTCGGGTAATAAAAAGTGTATTCTTAAAATGTTTTTTTAGCATAATCTTTTTCCGTTTATTAATTTGTTTTCTATTTTCTTCTTGGATCGTTCACAAAAAATTTTCTGATTTCCTATTCTGATAATTTTTCGTTAAAAAATATGTTATTATATTTTATTTTTTATTTATGTTGTTCATTTTATTTTATCAAGAATAAATAAATAAAATATTTACACTTTCTTCGATTTTTAAAAAAATGTGTAAAGTCAAAATCTGAAAGACAGCACTTTTCCTGTTTCCCATATCTGAATAATCAGTTTGTCATCTCTCTCTCTCTCTCTGGTAACTTCACCAATAATAGATCATCAATTCATCATCCATCTCCGCCGCAAAAGTTGCTGGTGCTCTCTTTTCCTTTTCTCCATTTTCTCTTTTAGGTGTTAGACAAGAAGGGCATTCAAAAAAGAAGCTCCGCTGCTAGCGCAAAATTTGCTCTTATTCGCCTCAGGAAATCGTCGCCATTTTGCCAAGTTTCCCGATCAAGGTATAATCTCCTCCCATTAGCTTCCTCCCATTCTTCCGAAGCAATGAGAATAGTTCAGTGGTACTTTGAAACTGATTAAGCTTCTATTCGGGCTGTAATGTTGAAATTCTGGCCCTAATTCGAATGAATTTATGAAATGGTGTATCAGTGTATGGATTGTGTAGATCTCTGTGTCATGTGTTAGAGAATGTACGATTGAACTTTTGGTTGGGTTGATTTTCTGGCCGGATACCCTATTCTTAGGGTATCCATTGAGTAGCTTTCGAATGCTATGCTTAGCCATTAGCATTCGAATGCTTCTAGACCCTGGAATGCTACTACTCTACTAGGTAGTATTAGAATGTTGCCCGAAGAGGTGTGTTGGTTCAAGCCAACACATATGTCTGGTCAAAATATCTCTACATAACTTACGTCTTATCCGATTGAAGTATTTTCGAATACCACCAAAATAACTTTAATTTGAGAGTGTTCACGTGATTCATAAAGTGGGGTATCGTGTTGAATTCACGGCTTAACTCTGTTGGTAGAGTATGTACACGGCTAGATGGATGCATCTTTTATATTTAGGAGAATAGGGATATGAGATACAGAGTATATAATAGGATAGGTGGATTCTTTTTATGCTTGGCTTCCTAACAACTTACTTTACATTCTCCCGTATATTATCTAGTTTGAAGAGCCTGTGTTGGTCCTGTTTGAGTACAAAATCTTTCATAGGCCTCCAATCACTAGTTTAAGGTTTTGATTGAGTTCATTCTTTAACATGATATTAGAGTCTTGTTGACGTAAACATCATGAATTCAAAGATTATCACCACCCTTTTTTTAAAAAACAAATTGATGTTTACATGTGAGGCTTGGACAATTAAATCTCGAATACATGTAAGGCGGCGTGTTAAAGTGTAAAATCTTTCACGAGCCTCCAACTACAAGTTTGTGCTTTCAGTTGAATTTGTTTCTAAACTGATCCAAACAGTAAAAAGTAAAAGATTTTTGTAAGTTGTCCTCCAAAAAATGTTAGGTGGTCTTTTGAATCTTTAGACTGAAGATTTAGCCCTAGCACTTAGTTCGGCTTAGGCATTCCACGGGCAGTGCCTTGACGGTTTGAGCAAGGCCAAAATAAGGAAAGACAGAGCCTATCGAGCGTGATGGGGATTTTGGATTTTCATAATAGTGCTTTTTTAAAAGTAGGATATAGGCAAGATGCACATTTTTAATGAGTATCACGAACAAAGCTTTTCAGTAAACTTTCTTTTCTAGAGGGCTTCATCTGAGCTAAAGAAGCTCTAGTTCTTTTCATGCATTTGAACATTTCATTGGGATCCAAATGTATTCTGTACATGTATGTGATCACCGACAGTGTTATCTTATTTTTGTGCTTCACTGGTTCCATTGCTATAACCTATATGTATTGCACAGTATACAGTTAGATGTTAGTTTTATTTGCAGAGTTAGCGACAAATGATTGTTTATTGCAAATACTTATCTTATTTATGCTTGAAGCAGGGTGCTTGTCATATGAGTCTCAGCTACCAAAACCAAGCAATAGT